CTTATATGGATTTAACAAATTATGGATCAGTGTTTTCCCTTTATTTCAAAGTAAAAGGTTAGAGATCAGTTGTACCAGGCTAGGGGCTGAGGTTTATGAAAAAAATCTCTGTGAACCTTGTAACAAATTTTTCTTTCAAACATGTCAAAGCGGCATATTTGTCAATTGAAGCGGTCAATTTGGCCAGTTGCTGGTTCTTAGGGAAAACACTGTGGATATAGCGAAGTAACTTCATAGGTCCCAGTGACTTCTTTATAACAGAGTTTTACTGTGTATAATTACACATGTATCTAAGACCATCCAGGCTGTCTTTATAATGACACACAGTACATGTACCCACCCTTCTGGCAACACAACTCCATCTGTGTGTAAGTATTCCAAAAATTCTGCAGGTAGTGGTATCACAATACTGTAAATATAGAACTTCAACATGATTATACATTGTATGATATATATATATATATAAATTCAAGGATATTCAATGTCATGTATTAGAATTCTGAAAAATCTTCACAAATCAGAAATGTTGCCAATCATTATTTATTTGTCCTGCAGAAAAAAAGAAGCTTCACAGAAATGAATAAAGGGCTAATTATTACGGTCATACGCAATATAGTTTGAACTTTATTTGCCTCTTCCCCGGAGTTGGAAGATATCGAGTTCAACTAAATGAAGGACATGTGTCCATTATTTTTAATGTCTATATATGGATTTGTACACCTCTTCTAAAACTGTTTTTCGTGAAAAAAATCTGGAATCTAAGCTTTGTAATTTTTGTACATTTTGCTTTGAATAATGCAAAAATTAAAAAAAAAATATTTTCAAAACCCCTGGTAATTCATGCTGACTTCTTGTTTAAGAACATGTACTGGTAATATAAGTTTAAATTTAGAATATCTTGAAAAATTATCAATAGGTAAGGTACCTTGCATATGTCCTTAATTACTTCTTACCTCTTGATAGAAATATGTTTGAATTTGGGATACCAGACCGGAAAGCTACAGTACATCACTTCTGACACCTTCATTGCTGACTTCTATAGATGTTGAGATCTGAAAAGACAAATTATTCAGCGAACTCTCTTCCTGCAGTATTGAACATATGTTAATTGTCGTGAAAAAGTTAAGGTGTAATTAGTTAAATGTTGGTTTTACATTAGACCTAGCCTTAAGTAGCGCTTCGATTCACTTTTTAATTTTTTAACATTTATTTAGTTCTTACCAGGTCCAGTACAATCACTAGATTTAGCTACGTATGTAGAATTACCTACATAGTTTTATTTACCTACCTCAGGTAGCTTTATTTAGCTATTTCAATGTACCTTTTCAAAATTTTTTTTTTTATTTAAGAGAGACAAAAAAAATCACAATTAAGAGACTATTAATATTCATACTAAGGAGGCTTATAAAAACAATCCAAAGCATAGATAGTTTAAACATTGCTGCGTTTGGACAATTTAGAGCAAAATATGTTATTCCATTGTTTGATTACTGTCTTCTCTCTCATGTGTGCGGTGAGGCAATTGATTACTTCACATTGTGCTGAATGATTACTGACCTATTATTGTGTCAACCAGATGTGACCGACCGTCGGGGAGGGTAGGGGTCCACCCGGAATAAGTAGTGCACCCTACAACACTTGGTCACGCAGTAACCATTAGACTTGGTTACTGTCCTTGACATAAACCTTCAAGGATTAAGACATAAGTAGGAATGTCTTTACCAGTCTTTATTACAGGAATATGTACATTATATATAATACACATCTAAGACTGGGTCTGCTAGCTGCATGTCCTAACTCTAGCTAACACACTCTGTATCTCATTCTCAGTCTCTCTCTTCTTAAACATTTTACATATACATATATAATTGCTTTTGAGTCGATCTAAGTAATTAAGGTGATTTACTCAAATGTCTTGTCAATGAAAGAGTAGGTGACATGGACAGGTAGAGTGATAATTGTTGTCACACCTGTCGTGCCTCAGATATAGATAATTAGGCAACTTAATTGACTAAGAGATTAACTAATTAAACTTCAAGGGATTAATAACAATAATGTGATAGCTAAGCCATCTGGTTGATCTAAATACTGTCATGATTTGATTTTGACATAAACAGATATTGCAAATGAAGGGAAATAAAATAATATTCTAAATTTGCATTTTGTATGACCCCTAACCTTTTGGTTAGTGGCTATACATCCCCCTTGCCCACCTAATTTTACTCCTGTAAAATTAAAATATAAATGGATGGAGACAATGAGAACTATAAGAATCTAGTCATGTAATTATATATACATTTGTAAGTATATATAATCTATGCAGCATAGCAAACCCTAAAAAAAAAATAAAATATATACATTCTAATGAGCATAATGATAGTATGAAATGAAAGTATGATCAAAAGTCGACAGTCATATGAAAGAACATTAAAGTCAACACAGTATGAAAAGAATTTTTTGATTTGAAAGTTTCTGATTCCTAGCTCTTTGTGTTGTCGTCCTTGGACATCGTTAGGTTCTTAAAATCACACAGGAAGCTGTCTGTCAATAGCAAATCAAGTGAGATCCTTAGCAGAATATTGGAATCTTTCGGAATCAGGGATCACACAATAAACATTTCCATACAATTTTGACTATTCTACTAATTCACTGTAATATTTCACTTATTTCACCATGTTCACTGGGTGTTGATGGTTAATTGGTGTAGTTGATTTCAGCAAGTACACACACATATTTAGAAGGTGATCATTTAACTAAATGGAGTTGAATGTTGTATTGGATATACACTTCCTTTCTTGCTAGGTGTAGTTGTCTTGTTTGAAGCTCAAATCACATTGTCTCAGGGAGTCGATGGACTGAAAAGCTGCTTAAAAGTCATATGGTTTAAAGCAATATTGTTAAGTTGAACATGGTTTAGTGGTTTCTAAAGTTGAAAGGCTACATGAAGTTGTTGAGAATTCCAAATTGCTGGTACAGTAATTCTCATCAATTAATGGAAGAAATGTACAATCACAATCAAATACTCAACAGGAAAAACCTTATGCATGTGACACCATAACCTACAACTTACACAACAATCCTTAAGATGGCAATTTTGAAAACAGAGATCAATCATTTTGTACTTATATGTACTGTACTGTTCTCCAGCAGTTTAAGGAGTTAATCCAGCTGGCACATAAATTCACAAGTACACAACATACATTAAAGTACATTCCTTAAGATGCATTATGATATTTTAACAACTGGAAATAGATGCAATGTTGAGACCAAATCATCTTGCCTAAAGAACTTGTCAAGATTAATGCAGAAAACTGATTGAAATTAGGTAGAAAACCTTTACCCATAGGGTAACATAAGACCTATAACCAGTAGTATAGCCTACATTATTTTAAACTCTTATAATATTCCTGCAACTACAAGAATGAATATAGTCTAACCTGCTGAACTTATCTGAGAATGACAAAAACTTAAGTTTCAGTAATTTTGTAAACCGGAGAGCAATAACAGCTAAGTACAATTATTTGCTTGGAGACCAGGCCCATGTACTCCAAAACTAGCACTAAGGAACAGCTATTATTCCTCTCTAGCATAATGCCTAAACTTATGAAGAATGAAAATTAAAACTGAAGTTGATCTAGATTAAACAAAATATATCAGATGTTTAATGGTAAGTAATGTGTTGAGCTTTCTTAAGTTGATATGTCAGGACTGTTGATGAGTTGTGTAGGATTGACAGGTGTAGAAAATTTGCATAAAAACTGTTTATTAATTGTGGTTGTAAATTTAGCAACGAGTACAAGGTATTCCGCTATGAAGCTCATCCATTTCCATGACTATTTGAGCTTGTAAGTCTAGTCTAGCATGGTACTGTTCTAAAAGGTCAATGCCTAAGATAACGGGATGATGAAGAAGTTCAAACACATGAAAGGTATGAGATGTCTGATGACCACTAATATTCAAAGTTAGCTCTGTAGTTCCTAACATTTTGTGAATTTCTCCACAAACACCTATTCCGTGCACTTGATACTTGATAAGGAAATTTTACCGAATATTCTTTCAAGAAGACTCCTAGACACACAACTAAAACTAGCACCAGTATCAACTAGAGCAAAAAGATCATGTCGCCTTATTTGAACCGGTAGGAGATTTTTCTCCAAATCGACCGAGAATGATAAAATGGGATTATCTGGTGAAAGACTACCAATAAACGTCCCTGTACAGATCTCTCTTGAACACTCACTATAACAATCCATTATAAACCTTTTGCTATTTAATCACCTAAACCCTAACATACAAATATGCAATGGTGTCACAAGCATAAAGAAATGGTTCCTAGAAGTGTACAAAAGAAAGTGACTGTACTCACCATTAACTGTCGTGTAAGGAGTTGTCCCTTTTCTTGGGTTCTAGCTGGCTAACGTCTTGGGGAAACTCGCACGCTGCAGATAAGAGGTACCCGGATTATTCTCCACCACCTTGTGACCGACCGTCGGGGAGGGTAGGGGTCCACCCGGAATAAGTAGTGCACCCTACAACACTTGGTCACGCAGTAACCATTAGACTTGGTTACTGTCCTTGACATAAACCTTCAAGGATTAAGACATAAGTAGGAATGTCTTTACCAGTCTTTATTACAGGAATATGTACATTATATATAATACACATCTAAGACTGGGTCTGCTAGCTGCATGTCCTAACTCTAGCTAACACACTCTGTATCTCATTCTCAGTCTCTCTCTTCTTAAACATTTTACATATACATATATAATTGCTTTTGAGTCGATCTAAGTAATTAAGGTGATTTACTCAAATGTCTTGTCAATGAAAGAGTAGGTGACATGGACAGGTAGAGTGATAATTGTTGTCACACCTGTCGTGCCTCAGATATAGATAATTAGGCAACTTAATTGACTAAGAGATTAACTAATTAAACTTCAAGGGATTAATAACAATAATGTGATAGCTAAGCCATCTGGTTGATCTAAATACTGTCATGATTTGATTTTGACATAAACAGATATTGCAAATGAAGGGAAATAAAATAATATTCTAAATTTGCATTTTGTATGACCCCTAACCTTTTGGTTAGTGGCTATACAGAACTGGACTTCTTTGTCATTTCATTCAAGGAGTAACTGTTCTAACTGTCATCCATAGCCCCAAAACTTTCAGAACTTTGATTGCAATTGCGCAGAAAAATACATTTCTTCAAGAATGAGTTTTTCCTGAGTTGTTATCAGATGAGTTCAAAGTTGAAAATGATCACTGCATCAAAAGGATATTTTCCGCACACCCTGAGAAATATGCTTTTTTATAGAAATGATAGCTAAATAAAGCTACCTCAGGTAGGTAAATAAAACTATGTAGGTAAATCAAGATACGTAGCTAAATCTAGTGATTGTACCAGACCTGCTTATAGCTGCAGATCTGTAGCTCTCCGAAAAATTATATTGATAGACCGAAGAGCTACAGAGCCACCCATTGAAAAAACTGTATATTTATTGCGCACAAAAAAGTGCGCTCGGTTCTCAACTTATTTCTCTATGTTTTTAAAACTGTGATCTCAAAATATTACTAACCGTATGTTTCTAGCATATTCTTTTGCTGTTTCCACAACCAAACATTCCTCATAATTGCTGTTAATAGTCCTCCTGACCCTGATATTGTAATCATAGAACATTTCGCTTATTTATACTGCCATTTTGGTTTCAAAGATAATTCGGTCCAATATGCTTCATTCAGATGTCAACTAGGGGAGTACTTGATAAAGGAGAAAGGATTTTTTAAAATCTTCCCTTTTTTGCAATTGAGGTAAGAATTTGGAAGAATTAATCAAGAACCGAGCGCACTTTTTTGTGCGCAATAAATATACAGTTTTTTCAATGGGTGGGTCTGTAGCTCTTCGGTCTATCAATATAATTTTTCGGAGAGCTACAGATCTGCAGCTATAACCTGCTTACAGTTACCACATAAATATGAACACCATCTCTAATAAAAAATAATATTCTTTAAAGAATTACATATCAACATGATCAAAGTTAAAATAGCTAATACTTAAAAAACTGTATATATCAGTATTGACACAATCTTTATATTCCACATGAAATCTGATGCAATACCTCGAGGTGATGAAAATTTCATGGAAAACGGTTCAGACTAGTCACTCTTCATATATCTTTAAGCCTCCAAGTAAAATTTTCAACAGGAGTGCGTCCAACCAACATTAAAATCTGCTGATACTGCCGACAGTTTAGAAAAAAAGGTACAGAAGAGTTTTTCACTTGTCAATCGGGTGACAGTCGGCGTCGAACAACAACATAAACACATGGACACACCATTTGTAACTTCAACACTGGAGAGTTCCTATAGACTGGCCTTTCTATATGATCGCCAGTCTACTTTCTTTGATTTTCAAACCTTTCTAAAAAGTACTGCATAGAACACTTAAAGATTGGGCATATTTTTGGGAGATTATACTTTTTATAACCATTAAAAATATCAAAGTATGTGAATGACTCATTTCTGTGTAAAACAGATTCTCTTGCCATGGCGAATTCATACTAATACTTTTTATAAAAGTGTTCAAAGATAAAGAAAATTTTATATGATAGCATTGAATGATGAAAAATCGCTCCAAGAGTATTCGTGGTCTGGGATTGTGAGGGAGGGTGTGTCAGGTGTGTTTTGTGGGTGGGGTGGGGACTCATGCATGATTGCATGTTCTTCTCACGGTACATTGTATATAATCATGATAATAATCAATACATTGTATTGTATGCGTTGACCAAGACGGTTAAGAATTACACAATTAAAAAAAAAAAATAAAATAAAATTATCTGATAGAACAATTCATAATTCTATTTTTGTGAAATGGAAAAAAAAATACATGGACTAAATATCAAATAGATGTGCATGTCAGACTCTGTGGTATTTTTTATTTCAAACTCATGTCTTTTAGACAACAGGAGTTCTCGTACCTATCAATTTACCAAAAATTGCGGTAAATAAAAAAAAAAAAACGCGTTATTATTATAGGTATTACACTTTTTTTTACCTGACACTTTCGGTAAAATTTATTGATTAATTAGCGAACTCCTGTGTATATATTGACAAATGAAATCTAAATGTCAAGAGCTGAAGACCAAAGCAAGTGTTTTTTCTTCACAAGTATAAGGTTTGGGACATGCATGAATACTAAAATATAGGTTCGCTAATAATGGGGCATAATTGGTACCCATGGGAATTCTAAAAGATTGATGGAAGACCTGGCCTCTAAAAACCACTTCATATATTTTGTCAATCAGAAACTCAAGCATTTTTTTATATCAAATTCAGAGTGCTTGTGTGTATAAACAAGATGTTTTTAACCAAATAATTTTGTTTATGATCAATATATAGGTTTAGTAAAGATTCATGAGTTCCATCTTTATTGAAAAAGTTGCATGTAAATGATATAAAAAAGGCCGATACTTTTATTCTTGGGAATGGTTGTATATAAACTTGAAAAGTCTTAAGTTTTTATGCTGTTGATTTTAATGAAAATTCTCGTATATATTTTTGCACACTACTCCACTTTAATTAGAGATTCTGAGGAAAAGAAGTCTGACCAATAAGATGAAAACAGTATTTTTTTCAACAAACCCTCATATGCGTAATAAATAATAACACAATATTCTGAAAAATACAACTTATTCAACATTTCACCAAGAACACCATAGATTAATTTTATTAAACGAACAAAATTATCTTTGCATATTATCATGTACATAGAAAATGTACAATGACTAGAACGTAACCTTAAGTGTATAGTTTATAATTTTAAATAGCTTCCATTGTATAACTAAGTGTAAATAGTTAAATTTTTCATAAAACCAGAAAAATCCTATTTTTCACAAATAAAAGCAAGTTTTTCTCCACAAGGATTGTCGAAAAGACCCCCATTTCGCTCAATCCCAACACAATTTTCAGAACCGCCGCCATTGGGTTCATCTACACTCCAAAGACTGCTGCTGGCCGATAAAACATCCTGGTCACTGACCCATTTCCATTGACCAATCATTTCTTTCTCCTGAAGACCAGTCCAGTACTCAAGGTGGGTCAAATCTAAAGATAAAATTGAATAAATATATAGAATAACCTTCATGTACATGATTTTACTGTTGTTTCAGGTATAAAAGTTTGAAGCGTTAGTTTTATTTTAACAAACCAATTATTTGATAGCGTTCAAAGTTGGACACGTTGTGTGGACTTCTACACGCTGAAAATTTGTTTCTACAGGACAAGCCTTTTCTTTGTAAAATTTCGAACGGTTTGTTTGTTTGTATGTTATATTGTTTATTGTCTCCCGTATGAAGACGCTACCACTTGCCGGTGGAGAACTGCAACTTTTGTCCTGTACTTTGCACTCAAGGCCATTGTGCATTGAGGGATCAAACTGCGAGACCTTGGTTTATACTGTCTCCTCCGAAGGACCGTTCCCAACGTCCTATAGTGGAATTTGAACCTGCTACATGTACGTAAGAATCAACTCCTTACTTCGCGACTCGAGAGCAGAAATTCTTACCACTGCGTCACGCGGGCGACCGCACGGTTTGTATAGGCCTATGGTAATGTACTTACTTTTCAGAATTGCCTTTACTTGTATGCTGTTTAGTTTATCAACATTGTCCAATTTGGCGAGAAATCCACCGTCCGAGTTGCACCTTCTCTCGCTTTCTGTCCAGTTCATCTGGTCTTCATAAATTTTATAACATGAATTACCCGAACTAAGTTGGGTGTATCCATTTTCATGACAGTCTACAAAATACGACAACAAATGTTCAACATATATATCTAAGTAATGTAGACAAATGGAGTAAGCGTCATTTTGGGTATAGTTTAACATTGGATACCATACATTGGATAGTTTTTTTTTCAATGTGTAAGTCATATTCAGTGGAAAATGTTATGATAATGGAAAATGTTGGTCTTCTATAAGTAGATCACCTGAGTTTGTAAGTGTTATTTTTTTATTTGGAGCGGGTTCTGACTTACCTTCACTTTTTCTAAAATGTCTTGCTCCAGATTCTAAATACGAGCTCTCCAAATAATCAAATATTCTTCTATATCCTCTACAGGTGTGATTGAAGACAGTGAACGAAAAGCAAGCTTCTTTCTGACACAAGATGGCACATTCAGTATCAATTTTAATTGCAGCGAAGAAGGAAGGATCTTTAAAAGTAGTTCCGTCATGAAAGTAATCTCTTTTCTATATTTCTGAGCTAACATAACCTGCAAAACAACTGTAGGTAAGTATTTTATAAATATTATGATTATATTTGTATCATATTTATTATATTTTCGAGGGAAATATCTAATGGCCTGTATCTTGGAGATTGATTAGATAAGTTATACATGTAAGGATAATATAAAATAGAGCAATTTAAATATTTTGAAAAGAAATGCTTAAATGCTTATAGAAAAAAATCATTCACTACTTACCAAAATCTTTTAATGCAAAGAAAAAGAAAATCACCACAAGCATCGTTACGTTTCTCTAGTCCCCTTATTTAGATATCATACAAACTTTGATTCTTTCACACACAGGATTTCAAAGTTAAATCATTTATTGATTTTGTGTGAAAGGTTAATTTGACCATTCACATAACTTCCGTTTTCTTACACCATGTTTTATTTACCATTCATTTAAGCTTGTTAAACGGTAAACAATCTTCTTTCATTCTGATACAAAATCATGAACATCTGATAATTTGTAACTGACCAACGTGTGTCAGATCGAGAATTTTGACTACAATAATATTTTGAAGGCAGTATAGGTACCACTAAAAAGATTCTAAGCTGGACCATTTTTGAAATAATGTTTGCTTGACCTCTCCTGATTCAGGATAAATTTTTTGGTTGGTAGGTTGTTGGGGATTTTGTATTTTGCTCTACGAAGGTTATTCAATAAATAATGTCCTCGGTGCTGGGATAGAAGCAAAAGAGCTTTTCAATGATTAATCTTAAGCATTTAACTTATTTTATTATATGATTGAATAATTTCCATCTCTCTGATTGGCTGAGATCCAACTATGTTAGAAAAATATTACGCTGTATTGACCTGCACGTGACGTTCCAGGTCAATACAAGGATTTATTTCCTCTACATTGATCTAAAAATAGATTGGGAAATTCTAAATTGATACAAATTTTTTTAGAAAGCTATTTAAACGACTATGATTTTTATTTTCATGTGAACAAAACATAAGCGAATATATATTTTAGGTGAGGGTGGTAAGAGGGGATGCAGGGACCCCCCCCCCCCTCCAACACTTTTACTGAACAACAATTTTTTTTTACTTTTTGGCAGTCAGTTTTTCCTGATAATGCTCCTTCCTTTCAAAATCTATCCTAAAAAAAGACTGACAATATATATTTCTTTATGGCAACTAAAATTGATTTTAAAAAACATTTCAAATTGATACGACTGGTAAGGTTTATTCACATTTTAATTCTGCTTCTCTCTTGTATTTGGCTAGGACTTAATAAAAAAAATGCAAACAAGTAATGAGCTGTATCATTTTATCAGTGAATCATATAATAAAACAATTATTGCTGTTTTTTCGGTCAATACAATGATTTAGCCATCTTCGAAGTAAAATATTCACCTCGCCCTTCGGGCTCGGTGAATATTGTACTCCTCAGATGGCTAAATCATTGTATTGACCTCAAAAACCAGCAATAATTGTATAATATTCTTTTTAATTAAATTACATGTCCGTAACATTTTTTTTAATCCGATTTCCGATTGTTTTTAGAATTCATTTTTGGGTATGACCTTTTGTATACTGGAAAATTGCAGATCCTATGATTTCCTTGACTTGTTTCTTCCTTCTGAAAGGTTTTTTTTTCAAGTTTGGAAATAGAAGCTAGTCAAAAGTTCAAGGATCTGGCGAATATTGTTAATATGAAAAAAAAAAAACAACAACAAACAATCTATTTATCCCCAAAACTCCTTTTCTCTTCAGGGCGTGCCGGTTTGGATGCCGTCATGAAGAAATTAAATGTAGAAGATTCCTGATTCTGGGTCCTTCCTCCAATACCGATAAACCTTCGATCTTTTTGCTTTCTAGACTCCTCCAGAAATTAATCTGTCTCCCCAAATACGTATTTTGAACAATAAATACCACTAATGTTTACGAAAATTGCATAAAAATATGTCTTTGTGCTCTTGCAGTCCTTTGCTCTTGTCAGACCTTCGCCGTTTTTGTCAAGTACATGTTATGGTAAATTTTGTTTTGGGGGTTTTAATCAAAAGATTCAAGTTTCATTATCTGTTTGAATTTCAAACAAACGTGGATAACTACAATAACCTATATTTTGAAATAGTTGTTAAGACATTCGTACTCGCTGTGGTCGTTTCACTCATTTTTCAAAATATAGGGTGACCTTTGAGTACTAAGGGTTTTTTTACCGTCAAATCTTTCTTAAAAACAGTGTAAACTACTCCCGAAATGATGTCTATCAAATTCGCTATATCATACATCATCAGATATTATTTTTTGAAGTTTAGCAATCAGTACATACGTTGTTATAATTTTTTGTTGGCAATTTAAGGAGGGTACCATTCTTTGATGCCCATTATATAATTTTTTTTAATTGAAATCCACCTGCTCATTTGTCTATAAAACAGGCATTGGTTGCTGTAAATGTCATAAATTGTACATGAGTTGTTATAATCTTTGTTGGCAAGGACGGTACCCATTCTTGATGCCCATTATTAATTTTTTATCATTGAAATCCACCTGCTCATTTGTCTATAAAACAGGCATTGATTGCTGTAAATTATACATATTTCAGTTAATACTTCCCAAGGAGTTTTACAGCAGCTCTAAAGAAGCTTTTATTTTCACTCTAGTTTACTGATTCTTTACCATTCATTTATAATGCAGTGTCTCGAATAGTCCTTGTTTTCAAGCTGCTCAAAATAAAACTATGTGATAAAAAATGGTCGCAAAAATATATTCATTAAAGATTCAATAATCAGATAATGCGAGAAAGTCAAGCTTAATGTCATATGATATCTGTATTGTCTATCATACAGTTCAGGACATTATTAATTGAACAGCTCTCGTATATACACAGAATTGTCTTTGCCTTCATTGCAAAATTTACAAAGACATCACTGTGCCGTATAAGTTTTCTGCTCATGTCTTCTTTTACAGAAAACAGTGTCTCATTCGGTAGAGCGTAGAGCACTCACTCCTTGTTCAGAAGGTCGGGTGTATGGGCCACGGGCCTGTTGCGACTGACGTAAGTCGATAAAAAAGGTAGCAACTGTTCTTTCGCACAGCTCTAGGAACTTTGAAAAGGAAGTTGTGGGTCCTGCAGAGGTTACCCTAAATATTGAGGTTAAGACAGGCGAACGATCCTTTACTGCTCAATGGCCATGAGTGTCGTGAAACATTAAAATTACGTGGTGACGAGTGCACTATTTTCCAACAGGACATAAAACATTGTACATATACACCCAATCAATACCGTTAACCGGGTGATAATTTGAGCTTATTTTGGCGTTTTGCTGGTACTCTAAAATTTTAATTGCTATAATAGTCAGTACTCTTCTTAGTGTTCAGCTTCAAAGAACTGAAACACTGTTCCCCTAAAATTAAATACGCCAAAATATTGGCATATATCTAAGCAGGCAAAACGCCAAATTTTACACCCACCAAGAATATCCGCTATACTGTATTAATGACTTTAATAGATTATTCAAAAAGAAAGGAATTCTCTATCAACAGAATATACTACAAGTCTGATGTACTGCGAAACTTGCATTGTATTATGTCCATTTCTTTTGAAATGCAATAAGAAACTAGTGCTAATTGTAACGGGAACCGTTACAGATGTTCCCCAAACGCCCCCAAACTCCCTTTCGGTGCCATATTTCCTGTAAGCTTCATTAAATAAGACAAACTCTGTGCATTTTTGACTTTAACAACGTTTTCCCAGAAGGATAGAAAATATATTCAATTTTTAGCATTGCACCCAAGCGCATGTGAATGCATGTGCGTTATGACCATATCATCTTGTCTACACTATTTATATATTTTAATATACTATATATTAAAGCATTCAGTCCAAAAGTAATAAAAATCCCTCATTCAAGAGTATTTTTAAATATACTCGTTTCAAATGCACGCACGTGCGTGGACGTGCATGATGATCATACCTTCTTGTAGGAGTCCCTTACATCTATCTATGTTCTAAATCCCATCCTGTTTGGTTGAAAATCAAGGGAGTTATAGTCATTTAAAGTTTCAGCCAATCAGATTGCAGCACACGTGCATACGCGTTATTTCATGATTTTTCTATATCATTTTGTAGGATATCCTAATGCATGACTATATTTTAAATTTCAAAGAATTTCGTCAAAAAACAAAGGAGAAATAGCCATTTTAAGTTTTAGCCAATCAGATTGCAGCACACGTGCATGCGCGTTATTTCATGATTTTTTTTTCTTTATCATTTTGTAGGATATCCTAATGCATGACTATATTTTAAATTTCAAAGCATTTCGTCAAAAAACAAAGAAGAAATAGACATTTAAAGTTTAGCCAATCAGATTGCAGCACACGTGCATGCGCGTGATTTCATGATTTTTTTCTATATCATTTTGTAGGATATCCTAAAGCATGACTATATTTTAAATTTTAAAGAATTTCGTCAAAAAACAAAGGAGATATTGCCATTTAAATTTTCAGCCAATCAGCTTGCAGCACGCGCACATGCGCATGCTTTCATGAAAATTCTTATATATCATGCGGTAGATCTTCATAATTTAGGACTATGTTCAAAATTTCAAAGGATTATGACAAGAAACAAGAAAGTTATTGAAACTTTAGTTTCAGCCAATCGGAGCGAAGCGCACGTGCATGCGCGTGAGATCTTGCTATTTTGACCATGCTATCTTGTCTATACTACTAATGTATCCTTACATTATGAGTTTCAAAGCATCTCATCAAAAAATAGAAAAGCTACGGCAATATCCATTATATTGGTAATTTCACCTGTTGCACGTGCGCGCTCTTGCAAGCACGTGCGCGCAAAATGACCTTTGTTTGGCAACTCTACATAACATGCCTACTGACCCTAAAAAGGTTTCACCTAAGTCGGATGTGTAGTTTACAAGATCACTCGTGGACAAAATTTTCCCAGGAAGAAGAAAAATAATAATAAGAACTAGAAACGATCTCGTTGCGAGCAACGAGTAGGTCTTCCGTCCGATTCCGAAAAATAACCCATAAAATCGAGCTGAAAATGGATTAAACATATTTTGGACACACTGGTAATTGAAACGGGTCACTAGCGTGAAAATCCAATACGCTTATCGATTACGCTATTTGAACAACTACTCTTACTTCACTTGTATGTACATATAATTCTCCAACAGTTAATCTGTCTTGGAATTATGAAAGAAGGGTCACTATTCATAATTTCGCGCCAAACGCAACGAGTAAATCTTGCGAATTTCTCTTGGAATGTT